TTTTTTAAAGTGACAGTTATAGAATTCTGTTTAGTTATATACTTGTTTTTCATTCCCCAACATCACTCCCATTAGACTGACAGCTTCTTGAAGGAAAAAGATGTATCTTCTTTGGGCTAACCTATAATTTGCTGAAAAAAGTAGAAATTAACAGGTGTAGTATGCAGGAAACATCCTGTGCTTACCTTAAAACTATAGTTATGAGAATATAAATATTTCTTTAATAAAGTTATGTTTTCAACCCTTTCTTATTTACAACATCTTATCTGACTTCACTGGGTGTATGGGCCTCAATGGCAAACTCTACCAAAACCAACGAAAAGAAAAAAAGTGATCATTAAAAATCATATGCAAATTATTTGGTTCCAATAATTTTACTATCTAGACATAACTTAAAATAGGGTTTACAGAAGTTTAGTAGTTAACACAGTTATCTAAAAAGAACACTATACAGCCATAAAAAATGATGAGTTTGTGTCTTTTGTAGGGACATGGATGAATCTAGAAACCATCATTCTCAGCAAACTGACACAAGAACAGAAAACCAAACACCACGTGTTCTCACTCATAGGCTGGTGTTGAACAGTGATAACCCATGGGCACAAGGAGGGGAACATCACACACTGGGGTCTGTTGGGGGGTGGGCGGTTTGGGGAGGGACAGTGGGGGACGGGGAGGTTGGGGAGGGATAACACTGGGAAAAATGTCTGATGTAGGTGACGGAGGGGATGGAGACAGCAAACCACCTTGCCTTGTATGTACCTATGCAACAATCTTGCAAGATCTGCACATGTACTCCAGAACTTAAAGTACGATTTTTTAAGAAAGAATAATATCCCTTTTAAAAGGAATATGCATGAAAATATTAATAACCTTAGAAGTACAGGATCTTAAATCAGTCTTTTATGGGTTTTAATACCTGACTCTGCAGGAACTTTATGGTCCTTCCATAAAGATTTCTCATATTATATAAAAAAGTAGGGTTTTCTAGAACTCATGAAAAATGGGCATATAAAATGAATCCTGAAGGAACAGCTTAAATAATTATGTGCATTGAGTGAGAGATGGAAACATAGTCTCAATGTAGGGAGACAGAAGGGCTCAGGCAGCACTCCGGCATCCTTAGGGAGTATGGTAGATGGGCTAACAGCTGCCCAGATTTTTTCAAAACTAGCGTATTTCCAGGTACTACTAAATTTTGAGGGAAAAAGGTGTTAGTGGATCTTAACAAATAATTGAAACAATTTAATTTAATGAAGTAGAAAATTTCAAAAGTACCATATTAAGTAGATTTCCTTGAAGAGAGAGAGAGAGAAAAAAAGCCTGTATTAAGATCCCTCAAGCGTGTGAACCCACTGTACTCACAAGGGTATAGAAATAACCTCAGTAGGCCAGCTGCAGTGGCTCACACCTGTAATCCCAGCATTTTGGGAGGCCAAGGCAGAAGGTCAAGAGTTCAAGACCAGCCTGGCCAACATGATGGAACTCTGTCTCTACTAAAAATACAAAAATTACCTGGGCTCAGTGGCATGTGCATGTAATTCCAGCTACTTGGGAGGCTGAGGCAGGAGAATCACTTGAATCTGGGAGGTGGAGGTTGCCATGAGCTGAGATCGTGCTACTACATTCCAGCCTGGAGACAGAATAAATAAATAAATTTCAAAAATAAATAAGAAATAACCTCAATAAAGTAAGGTTCTGGTCTGTCTAAACAAATGTTTGTAAATAATCTTAAAATGAAAAGGTATATATAAAAGGAAATATAAAAGAAATATAAAAGGTATATATAAAAGGAAATGGAGTATACGTAATTATATTTAGAACAAATATAAATATAATGAAGGTCCTGATGTCCTCAGTGACAGCCACTGACTTACAAGAGAACATTTGTGAAAATATATACATATTTCTAGAATTTCCAGCCTGTTGCTATAATAGTGAGCAAAGGAATAGGACCACCATTTAGGAACGTACATATATTAGGAAAAAAATGCCCTCAGGAAGACAGGAACTCCTTCTGGTAAGTGAATAAAATGAGTAGCCTTCTAGATTTGCACTAGTTAATCTTTATTTTAGTTTGAATAAAGATTTTAACCACAGGAATTTGCTATAATATCATTGGGGAAACAACCCACAGATCTATTTTTTTTTTTACAACATCCCACTGAAACTCTATGAAATGTTTGATTACCATCTTAGAAACTGTCTAGGGAAGATAGAGGAGGGAAGAGATAGCTAAAGGTTGCAGTGCAAATGTTAAATCCTGTGATGAATGGATTTTGCTTGTCATCTGACACAGAGGCTGTAACACAGGTGAACTAACTGCATAGTAGTTTCTGTGGTGATGCTTTTCCTTGTGTGATATTTTCTTTTCATTTGAATTTTGCATAAAGGTTAACACCTTTTGTTATTATTATTTTTTTTAACCAGCGTCTTAGTCTCTGAAAGTATTAGATTCAGTTGCCTTACTTTCTTTTTCCTCTCTCATCTCTAGTTAATGACTGGGATAATTGGTTTGGCTGCCTGTTTTAAGAAAGCATGTAACAGTCTGAATGCTGCTCTTCTCTCTGGGTTTAGAATGACAGGTGTTTAAAATGAGCATCTTAAAATTATATATAATAAACATGTTTATTGAAAATAAACTTACAGCAACTCTGAAGAGCTGATAGATTTGCAAGAATTATTGTCTTTTACATCATTGATATTATTGTTTGGAAAATCGTAGCAAAATATGTAGAAACATCAAAAATATTGGCAGTTGAACAAAAGTGAAAGTAATAGTTTGTATTTCTTAAAAGTTTCCAGACTAAGGGAGTTTATTTCACTTTTAATTTATTCAGTAATACTAAAATAATAAAAAGTATTCACTATATTCCAAAGTGCCTCTTCTCCTTTGCATGTCTTTTTTATTCCCACTTCTTCCCATGCACTATCCTCAATGCAGTGGAGCTCAAGAAGTTTGAAAGATCTTACAAAGAGCAAAGGAAACCTTTATCACTTTGGTTTTATCCTCTTTTTGAGTACTGTTAAAGTATTATAGAATATACAAACTTTTTATAAAATAGCTCTTTTAGATTTTAATAACAAGCTTGACTTGTCCCTTTCCCAACTCCAAATTCAGCTGAGTCCAGTGTGGTAGTTGAGCTTGGACAGACCCAAGGGAGAAAGAACAAATTATACTCAATTGCTACTCGTCTGTTTTGTTCAAGGCTTCGTTACTGACTCTAGATTGTCATGCCTGAACACTTCTTTCTTGATTGGGAATTCTTTTGTAGGAGTCTCCATGGTGGCTTTAAGAAGGACTGTCTCTACCTTCTCACCATACCTTGAGGGATCTCAGGTATTGGGTCCCTCCCCTGCTGTATTAGAGTTAAATGGTCCCTTAGATTCTTCTGATTTAGTCTTGGATTTTGTATTTTGCACAAGTAGCTAACGTAACTGATAGCCAGACCACCTGAAAGGAAGTTTGATTGGTGAAGTCTTTTTGAAATTGTTATGACAGCTTTTATAAATAAGTAGAAATGAGTACTTGAAGATTTCTGATGTGATCTACTACTTGAAGAAGGTAATGGAGTTTGAATGTTTTACAGTACTTATATTGATTGGTAAATCTTTTCAATGGTGATGGCTATTTAAAGAAAAGTTACAAGAACATAAATGCAATTAAAAAACTGCAAAATGTCTTTGGAAGTTGAAGCAGTTTCAACTTTCACATTTAACTACCCAGAACATTTGTAGCAGGATACCCTTGTATGCAGCAGAGAACAAAATGTGATGGCAGTCAGTGCAATTACCTCTGCTAGTCTCTGTCAGGAACAGGAGAAAGCAAAATTGTTCTTTAGTGTTTTCTCAAACCCGAAATCACTTTTTATTCCCTTACTCTCATGCCAAAGGATCCAAATAGATTTTATATATAAACTCTCTATAGAATCTATATAAAAATATATATTTTGAGTGTCCCAAGAGCCCTACCACAAGCTTGTTACCTTTAGGCACTATCTCTGTGCTGAGGTGCCATCACTCTATTCTGTGCCCTACTAAAAATAGCCTTCTGCAAACTGATATGTTGGAAATTCTTATCTCTCCTAGGAATGTTTGTTCTGTAATGGCAGACCATAATTTAGCTTAAAGGAGCCCTGCTGTTGGAAGTTTAAACATTAGGTTTAGGTTGATGGGGTAATATGTGGGCAGAATTAATTGTAGTCTCATAATTCACCAAATTACATGAAAGTAAAGACACACTGCAAGTGGGGACTATGTGTCTGTAAAAGAAAAGCAATATAATATATTAAGAGGAACGTGAGACTTGGAGTCCTGGTTCAACACTTACCAATGTATGATGTTGGACAAGTCTCCATTATCTCAGTAAATATAAAAATAGAACAGGTTAATAATACCTACCTCACTGGATTTAATAATGAGAAAAAAGTGAAATCATATAGGTTTAGGTTTTTTATCAGCTGTTATGTGCTACATTCAAAATGGACCAGCAGTGGGAACATAAGTTTCTATATCCATCCATACATGTATTTACAAAAATTCTGCTTTAGGCACAAAGCCACTATTTAAAATAATATGTATGAATAAATACTTTTACATAAACTCCCTCATCTACAGAATTTTCTGTTTCCATTATGGTTTATATCAGTAGTCTCGGAAATGTTTAATTTATGCAATTTAAGGTAGAGTTTCAGCATTTTTAAGTCCTTTTAAAAACCTTTCTCCCTAAGTTGCCTTAGTTTTTCTCTCCTTTGGTAAATGAGTTTGATTTCAAGCCATTTATATAGATGAGTCTGTTCTGTGCATATAAATAATGTTATAGTAAAGAAGAAAACTATAGGAGCACATTTTTGTAGGGCAATGGTGACAGTTTCATTGTGAAACAGAATGGGACAAAGAAAAAACACAAAAGATGTAGTAATGAGAATAATCTGCATTCTCTCAAGAGGCAAACCAAACATATCAACCATACCAATCTTTCTTATTGTTATTTATTGCAGATGGGGCACACTGAGAGGAGCACAAGGGCGGAAGGAAAAATTTTGGGTATGTAACTCTTCCCAGTTGAATCCCTGTTGTGAAGTGAATATGTTTGAATCTTCTGTTCCTCTACCTGCTTGCTATTATTTAGTCACAACCTCAGTTGTGTAATATTTGTTGATAACATTGGCTTTTTCTCCAGCATAAAACTGATTATAAATATTTATAGTTTTCCTCAACTCCTATTTGAAACTGTAAAAAAAAAAGTCAGTGTTTATTTTTTTCCCTAAGTTGAGAATCAACAGGACAACTTTTTGTTCTATTATCTTTTATATTAAAGTAATGATTAAAATTCCTCCATATATATCTATATGACAATGAACTTTATGCTTTTGTTATGTTAGTGTCTCATATATATGGTATATTACATGTATGTATCCTCTAGGTTAAGGCTTTTTTTTTTCTTTTTGCCAATTATAACATACACATGTGTCTTTACTCAGAAAGAACCAATGTTTAGTCTCTAAATAACAGAAAGTTTCAGGTAAGAAACAATTTGCAGAAGATTGAAACATATTACCTCAAATATTCGATTTACTACAAGCTGGTCAATTGTCCTAAGTTCTTATATATTTTTTATATAAATATAATAAAGCTAGGTGGTAATACCATAGAATTTAAATTTGAATGTACACAGTAGAGGGCATATTTTAGCTTACAAAACACTGGATGCTAGAAATTGTACTCATCAGAATAATGCTTGGTATATTTCTTCATGAGGCACTCACAAAATTCAAACACCCAATTATGGGGTCATATCTTATTTTTGTGTTGTTGATATGTGGAGGTGTTATGCTTTTAAGTAGAAGGGTTCTCCTTTAAACTGAGCTTTTAAAAATCTAATTTTTCTCGTTAAAATAAAACTTACATTAGTAGTCAACAATTAACATTAATGTCCAACAGTTAAAATAAATAAGTTATAAACTAGAATACATTATTTGAATACCTACAATTATGTTTCTGCATAGGATTTTTATTAAATAAATTTGAACAGTTATTTAATCTCATAACAATGTAATATTTAGAGACAAAACCAAGTCCTTTTATTAATGTATTTAACTCACAACAGTTCTTGGCATATAGCACTTGAGGGATATTTGTTGAGTGAATATGAATGAATGTGCAGAGAAAAACATTTTTTGATTCTTTCATCCTCAACCTAATCATTCCCACCTTAGATCCCTACCTCTAGGTAGTGTACATGTACACACACACACACTGAGTATGATTAGGTAGTCACTCATTTTCATATAGTTAACACATACATGCACACTATCCTTTTTCAACTAGTTGTATTTACTATATCAGTTTGGAACTTACTACTTATCAAATATCTTCAAAGAAAATTTTATTTCATGGGGCTAGGGATAGGATTTCTTTCTGCTATGAATTTGTTTGAATAAATTGTTGAATGTAAGCAGTATGAATATAAGAATCAGACTAAAATTTATAATATTTTACACAATATTGGAGGCTTTTTTCTCTACTAAACTGTGTTCTCCTCATCAGTCAGGATTACATTTGATTTATTTACTAATGTATCTCAAGGGTCAAGTATTGTGATTGGTTCATAGTGAGAATATAAACAAAACTCATGGAATGAACAAATGAATAACTTTAGCCTCCACATTCAGGAGTCATTTGTCAAGTAATTAAAATAATTTTTTAATAAAATATACTAGTGGTTTAATTAAAATACGGAATATTTAAGTACTGTTATACTATTTTGTAAAGAATTGTGAAGGGTCTGAGATACTATCTCACTGATACAGATGATATAGATATAGGTATAGATATAGGAGATACAGCACCTGGGCCAGAAGTAAGGAGTCCTTAACTAGATCAACAAGCAGTGTAACATGGCAGCATGTGTCCTCCACACCTTAGTCTTGCATCGATGTGATAAGAGTCAACTTAGGTGTTTACATCTCCTAAATGAAGAACAAAGAACAATTTCTCCATTTGTTTACTGGAGAGAGACAAGCAGATTTCTCCTTCCCCCCAAAAAAGGAAAAAAAAAAAACCATTCCATTATGAGATGAAGAAGATCCTGTGTTCTCACTGCAAACTTTAGAAATATAAACATGTCTTTCCAAGGGCCAGATAAGCAGCAGGTAAATCTCCAGATGATGGGCTGTATCTCTTTTGCCATGTAAATACCAAAGGAGATAATGCCTCCATAGTTCTGATAACTTACAGCTTAATTTAGGACCTTGTCTCTGGTTTTTCTGAGCCTCTTGAGGAGACGAGAAGTTTTGTTATCCTTCAGATCACATCATTAACTGGATGACTGGCTACAAAAGAATATTTTTGGGAGAAGTGAAAGGAAACATTCCCTATCTTTTAATTATATGCAATGTTTTGTGGGTCAGGAAAGCCAAAACTTTATTCAAGAGCACTGAGAAACCTAGGGAAATTTTATTTCTTCACAATTATGTATGGATGTTTCAAAGTATTTACAAATAGTCCTATGACATACACCTATTTTTATTATAAAAATATTGGATGGCTTTCACTATTGAGTAAAATGTAATAGATAGCAGCAAGCCATAAATTCTACTAAATAAGTTGAAAATAACAGAATTTTTCCAAAATTGTGTTTTTTAAAAATGAGTGCTGAATCTGGAGAACATTTTTTGGCCTAGGAGCATTTGGCAAGTTTGCACACAAGGTTTATAACAGGCATGCTATGGTTTGTTTGGATTAAATTATAAGAGAAGTGAAGCAGAAAGGTGTGACCAGCAACAAAGGGAAAAATACTATCAACAGAAGCAATAGCTAATACTTTAGATATAGGCTTTAAAACAACTATTATTTTAAAAAATTAAGAAAAATCTAGATGAAAAGATGGAGAATTTATGTGTGTGTGTGTGTGTGTGTGTGTGCACACGCATGTATATATATGAGTTCCTGAATTTATGAATGCAAATATTGCAAGAAAATCATACTCAAACATTTTATGATCAAACAGCTGAAGATAAAAAATAAACAGAAATTTAAAAATACCCTATTTAAAATGGCACATTATTATTATTATTATTTAAAAAGCAGCACTGACTGACAGCTGGTATTTCAACAACAATAAAAAAGGAAAGTATAAGTCTACAAAATGACATTGTTAAAGTGCTTAATAAAATAATAATATTGATGATGTTGAAGATAACAAGACAACATAGAATTTTATACACGATGACATTTTTCCTCAAAATAAACACAAAGTTAAGACTTTTTAGACAAACAGAAGCTGAAATAACACAGTTGCAAAAGACATACACTAAAAGTCACAGAAAAAAGTAGACAAATATTTAAACATGTCTCAGTATCTCACAGAAGCTAAAAATAAGAAAATGCATGAGAGATTGAAAAAAAAAAAAACTATTAGCCAGCTTTATGTCATTGAAATTCATAGGATATAAAACATAAATATTGATTAAAAAATTTTCTTTAAATGTACGTGAAGTATTTGCCAATATTGACCACATGCTGGGCCATAAGACATGTTCAATAAATTTAAAAAATGGAAATTGTACAGAATATACCTTGATGAAAATTTTGTTATTTAGCTAAAGCAGTACTGAATGTAATAAAAAAATGCATGCATTAAGAAAGAAGAAAGGTTAAAATTGATGCACATATTTTTTAAAAGGTTGAAAAGAATAATTCCGCAAGCTAAAAAATTTAAACTGAAGATAAAATGAAGGAAATAATAAACAGAAGAGCAAAACGAAAAAAAAGAAAAAGAAAAGAAAGCAGATGTATTATAACAGATGAAAATCAACAAAGCAAAGAGTGGATTTTTTGCAAAGATTAAATGTCTAGGAAGACTGAAAAAGAAACAAGGCGAGACAAATTACCGCAGAAGTAAAAAAAGAGAACATTGCTGCAGATTCAATAGATATTAAGTAGGTAATAAGAGGATATTATTAAAAAGTTATATCAATATAATTGAAAATATCGATGAAATGGGTAAATTTATTGGAAAACAAAACTTATCGGAAACCCACACAAAATGAAAATTGACTAAACAGTTATGGAACAATTTGAAAAAAAAAATGAGTTTATTTAAGTTACTCTCACAGAGGAACTCAGGCTCAAAAGGCTTCACTGGTGATTTTTTCCAAACATTTAGGGAATAAATAAAACAACTTTTCCATCAAAAATTTTCAGGGAATAGGAAATAAGAAACAGTTCCAAACTCATTTTATGAAGCACTAATACCAATACCAAAACTTGACAATACAAAAAAGAAAAATTATAGCCCAATAGCTCTCATGAGCATAAAATTCCAAACAAAATATTACAATTAAGAAATATATAAAAGGATAATACTCCATAAATTTCACTTATGTCAGGAATGCAAGGTTGGTTTCAAATATTAAAATCAGTCAATATAGTTCATCAATATACGAGAGTCAAGGAGAAAAAAACACCATGAATATCTTTTTTGTTTGTTTGTTTGTTTTTGATAGAGTCTTACTCTGTTGCCCAGACTGGAGTACAATGGCATGATCTTGGCTTACTGTATCCTCTACTTCCTGGTGTCAAGTAATTCTCCCTACTTCAGCCTCCAGAGTAGCTGGGATTACAGATCCTTGCCACCATGCCTGGCTAATTTTTGTATTTTTAGTAGAGACAGGGATCACTTTGTTGGCCAGGCTGGTCTTGAACTCATAACCTTAGGTAATCCACCCACTTCAGTCTCCCAGAGTGCTGGGATTACAGGCATGAGCCACTGCACCTGACCTGAATATCTTAATTGGTGCAGAAAATGCATCAATAAAATTCAGCACTTAGTGTTCTATTGTGTAACAAACTATCACAGATTTAGCAGATTGAAACAACATAAATTTATTACCCCAGTGTTTTTCTGGGTCAGAAGTCCAGCGAACCCAGCTGGATTCTCTGCTCATGATCTCACAAAGATTCCATACAAGTGTTGTTTGGGTTGTGTTTCTTTCTGGAGCTCATGATCCTCTTCTAAGCTCATGTGGTTGTTGGTAGACTTTTGTTTTTCTGGTTTTAGGTCCACATCCTCATTTTTTTTGCTGCCTGAGGATATTCTCAGCTCTTAGAGGATGCCTGAAATTCCTTCCATGTGGCTCCCTCACACAGATTTTTACAGAACCTCTCTCAACGCGGTAGCTAACATCTTCTAGACCATTAGGAAAAACAAAATTTCTGACTTCTATATCCTATTTTAAGGCACTCTGTGAGTCATATTTGGTCCATAAGCCATAGTTTGCCAATGCATAGGTCATAGAAATTTTATATACATACGAAAAAAATAACCTAGATCCCTTCCTCACTAAATACAGACAAAAACAATTTGATAAGAAGCATAGACCTGAATGTGATTGCAAAATAATAAAGTTTCTCAAAGAAAACATAGGCAAATAAGTTTGTGATAGCTATTAGTGACAGCTTTCTTAAATCAGGCACAAAATAAATAACCTTTTTAAAAATAAATTATCAGCTACATTAAAATAAAAACAACTATTTAAAAGACAGTATTATAAGAAAAAGTAAGCCACAGAATGAAAAAAAAATTATCTATCTGTCTGGAAAGATATCTGATAAGTCCTCACATACAGAATACATACACATTCTTACACATATGTAGGAAGACCAAGATAACTCAATAAAATAAAATTCTTAAACAGAAACATCAGAAAAGGGGGAAATCCAAATGGCCCTTTGAAAAGGTGGTCAATGTTGTTAGTTATCAAGAAAATAAAATATCACTTCGTATACACTAGACTGGCTAAAATTAAGAGGATTGATAATACTCAGCATAGATAAAGATTTGGAGTAAATAGAATCTTATACTACTGATGCGTGTGTAAATGGAGTTATGGTCATCATGTTTAGCACCAGGAGAATGGGTAAACTATGGTATAGTCACACAATGAAAATACACAGTAATAAGATGAATTAATTGCTTACATATGCCAAAACATAGATGAATCCCAGAAACATTATTTTAAGCTAAAGAAGTCACCCTCAGTATATTTTGCATTATTCCATTGTTGTAAAGATCGATTATAGAAAAACCTGATGGGGAGGAGAAGGTGGATGTTGACAGGAAGGCAACATGTTAGACCTTCTGGGGTGCTATAAATGATTAATAGCTGGATCTAGGTGGAGATTACACAAACAAATTTCATAAACACATGTATAAATGTATTAAGTTGTATACTTAAGATTAATACACTTTGTACATATGACTGTATCATATATCATATATCTTTTTATCTTAAAATTAAAAAATTGTCTTTAGAATTTTTCTCTCCTGCATTGCCATCATTTTCTTTATAATTAAATACAAAAAGCTGTAGGCATTTGGAAGAAACAAAATAAGTGCTGAAATAGAATAAATGAGAGGAGGAAGAATAAGATTAATAAACAAGACATGTCCTGAGGTATATTTTATTAGCACTCATTTTTACAATGCCCACTCTTTATAATTGTATGGCCTTTCTTGTGAGTCTATGGTTAGCTCTCATTAGCACATAAATTCACATTTGCTTATACAATCTTTATATGCCTTTCCCATATTTACCAAGAATCAAATTATGAAATTCTGAATGGTAATATTCTTCAGACATCCAAATGAGAAAAGGTACGGTGTTACATATTATATTTGCAAGAATTTACAAGTATTACTATTTGTAACCATTTGATATTTTGTGACTGTTTTTATGTGATACACAGATATAGATATATGAACTGACTAGAAAATATGAAAACTGGCATTTAGTTTACTTCCTCGTTGCTAGAATTCCAACACACATTGATGCTGTTTCCTTCTCAGATATTCAAAGTCCATTTCATCTTTGAAGTGATAAACTGAATTTATAATTTTAGACATAGTTTTGAGAGAGCTCCTTTAAAGTGTCAGCATTGATTAAGGAGGCAAAAAGCCAAATCTTAAAAAGAAATGCTAATGAAAATGGGCTATTTATTAAAACTAGTGTCATGACAATTTCTGTTGCTCAGTCAGTCTGCCCCTCTCTTACGTGGTAGAAAAGAAAGAAAGCTCAATTCAACACCTTAGGCCTTGAGAATATCAGTGTAGATAACATCCAGGAAAATTTTCTGTCTTAGTCCCAGTGGAGGGTAAATGGGAAGCAAGTGTGAGAGCTAATTTATTGTGTTTTTCTGCTGCATTTAGTTGCAGACCTAACTCCTGTCTGTGTGTCCTTTGGCCTTCAAGATAATCTCCATATACTCCACTGATGTTTTTGCTCTATCACACGCTTATTCATTCAAGCTTTTAACCCAGGAGTCATTTTGGACTTAATCCAACTGCCTAACCATTTTTGCATTTTAAAAAGAATTTTTAAAAAACCTAATTCCTGTTTATTTCACTTTCTGAAGATTTCTCAAATACTTTATTTTCTCTTATCCAACTTTATTTTCTCTTAGACAATTATTACACAAGTCTACTAGCCAGTCACCCTGCTTCTTGTCTTTACCCTGTTAAATCCATCCACTTCTTTTCATATAGGATAATGTAATCTAATCACAGTATGAATTTGCCCACCTTTCTTTCCTGCTGGAATGAGCTCAATGGCCTGTCATCATCTTTCCCATTATTTTCTCATTATGGATGTTCTTACCTCCCCTTCCAGCCTCATAACCTACCATTCTGCTTCCATCTCATGATCTAATTATAACAATTTTATTGCTTCATTTCACTACTTCATCCTATTTCATGCTTTGGTATTTATGCTTTTACTGTTTCTTTTTATGCGAATCTTTTTCTTCCTTTTTTATCTGGTGAATTAATCGTCAGACTTTAATATGCATCCCATGTGGCACTTCTTCAACAATGTCTTTCCTGAGGCATCCAAGTAAGTGATATGCCTTTTCTCTGACCTCAGAAATTCTACTGTGCATGTTTCCATCTTAGCATTTGCCTTATGTTGGTCATTCTTTCTTTGACTATAAACTTCCTGAGCATAAGATAATTTATTATTTATTTTTGGTCTTCCAGTCCTTAATACAGGCTGTTGTTCACATAGTAGACACTCTATAACTGCAGCTTACATGCCATCTTCTGATGGGCCATTTCAAACACTCATGCATATGTTACCTTTGCACTCTGGAAAACTCAGAGAGTCATACCAATTCTGGCTATTGCCAACACACATACACACATGTATATTAATATACCTGATACATAATACAACCATTAATTAAAAATATGTAAGTTTTTGATAATTATAGTCTATAATAAATCAAAGGCATTTAAAGTTACAAATGAGGCTGGGCATGGTGGCTCACGCCTGTAATCCCAGCACTTTGGGAGGCCGAGGCAGGTGGATCACAAGGTCAAGAGATTGAGACCATCCTGACCAACATGGTGGAACCCTGTCTCTACTGAAAGTACAAAAATTAGCCGGGCGTGGTGGCGCATGCCTGTAGTCCCAGCTACTTGGGAGGCTGTGTCAGGAGAATCACTTGAACATGGGAGATGGAGGTTGCAGTGAGCCAAGATTTCACCACTGTACTACAACCTGGTGATAAGAGTGAGACTCCATCACAAAAAAACAAAACAAAACAAAACAAAACAAAATAAAACAAAAAAGTTACAAATTAGTTCCCCATTTTTTTAATACCAAAGTTTGTTACTCAACTTTTTCTTTTTCTTTTCTTTTCTTTTTTTCTTTTTTTTTTTTGTTTCTTCAGATTGCTGCCAATTCCTGGGGAAAGTCATGGGGAGAGAATGGCTATTTCAGAATTCTTCGAGGAGTAAATGAGTCTGACATTGAAAAGTTGATTATTGCAGCTTGGGGCCAACTGGCAAGTTCTGATGAACCATAACATATCATTAAATTTCCATAAAGCCATGCCTTTAAATAATCCCCTAAATTTGAAGTTGAGCAATGTGAAGTTCTTGGTGACAGTGGAATCTTTGTCTCTTCACCGTGTTAACATAATATATCTGTTTTCTCCTTGTAGCCCCAGTCTGTGCTTCTGCTTTCTTCATATTACTGAGCATAAAAAACACAAATAAAGGACAGCAGAGTGCCTAAATGCCTTTAAAGTTCCCAGGTGGTCTTATTTTTCTGTCATGATCCTATCCCTTTTGCCTTTAATTGTTCACAAACAGTGTGACGGCATCTGTCTTAACAGTTTTTAGCATTTATTCGTAGAAATGGTGTGGTTTCTCTCTTTGACCAATGAGGACCTTAGAGAGCAAAAAACAAATTAGAAATTCAGTGATTTGCCATCTTTATAACTTTCTTTTCATCCAAATAACACTTTCTTAGTTCAAACCTTGCTTATGTTTTGCTTAAGCAGTGGAAATACGTTATAAGTTGTTTATCTTGATAACTTAACATTTTGTTTCTTCTCATTTGACTAAATCTGCCTTGTAATCTGGTAATAAAAAGAAAAGCAACACTCCACAGGAAAGAACTACTCTCTATTGTACTCTGCAATGGCCTGTAATGTGGAGATGACAAGAATCGGAAAAGCTTGGAGGCTAACAATAAAAGTACCGTTCTGACATACACAGAGTCCTATTTTTGGAAGCTGGTATATTTTATGTAGCGTCTATTAAAATCAGCTGCAAAACTATATTTGGAAAGATAACAAAACAGTTACTACCCCAAAACAGCAACATGATGCCATGATTCAAAAAGAAAATACACACACTTTTATCACAAATACTCTTTTATCACAGTTCACTGCTTGAAATTCTAAAAAGTAAGCTAAATTGGCACTCATTTGCATGTAAATTTTAGTTCTCTATAGTCAGAGAAACAAAAATAGCATCATAGCAATGGTTGAGAAAGGACATAATCTTTTAATATCTAATTGGCATTTTTATTTATTTATTTATTTTGAGATGGAGTTTCACTTTTGTTACCCAGGCTGGAGTGCAATGGCGCGATCTCGGCTCACCAAAACCTCCGCCTCCTGGGTTCAGGCAATTCTCCTGCCTCAGCCTCCTGAGTAGCTGGGATTACAGGCACGCGCCACCATGCCCAGCTAATTTTTTGTATTTTTAGTAGAGAAGGGGTTTCACCGTGTTGACCAGGATGGTCTCGATCTCTTGACCTCGTGACCCACCTGCCTTGGCCTCCCAAAGTGCTGGGATTACAGGCCTAACTGGGCATCTTAAATGGAAACTAGTAAACACAGAAACAAATCTGATCAGTAAGTGAACACAAATGATCATAAATACAACAGTGGGATCTCCATGGCCTGAATTTCTGATCACTATCATCCTAATTTTGATCTTTGGTATTTTTTTCTGTGATTGTGTCCAAAGATGTCCTGATTAGAGAAGCTAGACATGATGAAAATGTGATGGAACAGAGCACAGACAGGTGAAGTGTTGCAGTTGCTGATTTCTTCATTAATCACTGTAGCTTTATCAGAAGCAGCATTTATTCACTTTGTTCTCCCTTAGAAAATATATGTGACGGTGAGTCACCTTGTTGGGTTTGGCTGACGTTTCCTCAAAGGGTTGAGAAATAATTTGTTTTTTTCTCTCTTTGGGGTCCTCTAGAAGTAGCCCACAAGACAAAGTTTTGAGCGCGAGCAATTTGGTTAGGCCATGAAAAGAGCACTGAGAAGGGAGTGAGGGGTGACATGAGCTGGTGATGGTGGACAGTAAAAGGTGCATTGACCTAATTCTTATCCCACTGGGGACTCTTGCTACATTCTTGAGATATATACCACCTGAGGAAAGAAGTGTGTGTTCCTTGGTTGAAGACTGTTCCTGGGGTCTGTGGATTCCTTGTTTTTTCCAGTCTGGCAAAAGAGTCAGAGAAAATAGGTTCCAGTATCAGAAAAAACTCAGAAGCAAAGAAAGGCAGTTTCTGGTAGTTGGAGGTCCACTGCAATGGTACAGATGAGGTAATGTGGGCAGGGCACCAATAGTGTCTGCGGTGGGTGTTAAAATACTTTTAAAATGCTTTTTAAATGCTGAAGACTGCTGAAGCAATAAATTCTAATGCACTAAAGTGCCCGATGAATAACATGCCTATAAAAAACATGGGATTACGTTGATCCACTTTTGCCTCGATTATGCAAATGGATGAAAGATACTGGAATTAATTTTTCCCATTGTGGTTTGTGAGCTTAGGTTCTGCTGTTTTAAAAGGTCCTACCTTTCTAATGATACCAAATGATGAGGAAACTGAACCCAAAGTGAAAAAAAAAAAAAAGAAAAGAAAATACCACGTTATAAGACCCATAGGAAAGCACAGTGTTCATGTAACAATTACAGGCCTGAAGAAGAGACAGAAACTATTTGGGACACAAGTGTACCGATGGGATAGGGAAAATATTGTTACTGAGGTTTGTTGAATCAGTGTCTTCCCTTGAATAGTGTTGTTTATCATTTTTACAACTTTAAAGAGCTTGTTTAGTTTTACTTATTATTCAAGGGCTCTGAGTCAACTTTCAAAAACTAATGATTAGTATATTCCTTACCTTACTCTAGGGATTGAGTAACTATTTGCAGAATTAATTTGACTGATGCCTAGATGGTTTCCTCCCACAAATTAAAGGAGGAAAAACAATGAAGATAAGGGTGTATGGCCTCCTCTATTTCATGATGTTTGTATTATCTCATTTTATTCTAAATAACAAATAAACTTCCCCAGTTTTTTTAAATGCATGTTCAAAAAATTTCCTAAAAATACATAAAGTGGAATGACATTTATTAGTTGGGGTTCAACCATTAAAAAGGAAACCTCTGTAAGTCTTTTGAACAGAAGGAATGTAGTGAAAGAAATTGCTTACCGAGGCAGTGAGGAATCTGGAAGGCAACGGGGGATGGTGAGACAGCCCAGAGCTGAGCAACAGTAGAAAGCTGCCATCAGCTCCAGACTGAGGGACAAAGAAAAGACAAAGGGAGGAAAAAGAGAGTAGTACCTCACAAACTACCGTTTTATGAAATATGTCAAGAGAGAAGAGCATTAATACATCAGGTATCATTGTATCAAAAAGAGGACTTTCTAAAGAACACACAGACATTTCTTTCCCAGAGATGTCAATGAGAAAGGAAAAAAGTATCAGCTCAGCACTGTCAAGAATGGAAGACTGAATGAAGGGAAAAGACTTCTCCATTTCTAGCCATGAATACTATTACACATTATTTTGATACTATATCTGATAGAAATGTTTAAAAAGTAATTGATAGGTAAATCTAATAGAGTGAGATTTCTCCTCAAGCACCAGTAAGAGCCCCATTAGTTAGAAAAAACTCTCGCCTCTGTATATCATCTCCACTCTATAACCTCTGCCCTCTGGCAAGAGTTTAGCTTTATGCTTCTCAAGTTATTCCATGAGAGACTTGTTGATGTAGTTAGTCTTTGTGTCCGCACACAAATCTCATCTTGAATTTTAACCCCCATTACCCTCATGTGTCAAGGGTGAGAGCAGCTGGAGGTAACTGAATCATGGGGGGTGGTTTCTGCCATGCTGTTCTCATAGTAGTGAGTTCTCATTAGATCTGATGGTTTTATAGGGAGTTTCCCTACTTTGGTTGGCACTTCTTGCCATCTTGTGAGGAAAGTGCCTTGCTTTCCCTTCACCTTCTGCCATGATTGTAAGTTTCCTGAGGCCTCCCCAGCCACGTGGAACTGCGAGTCAATTAAAACTATTTCCTCTATAAATTTCCCAGTCCCTGCCAGTTCTTTATAGCAGTATGAAAACTAATACACTTGTCTTCTGAGATCATAAGGGAAAAATGTCTAGTTATATTGAATTTAAGCTATATGTTGTACTCTGTACTTGAAATATGCACAGTTCACAGGTAAGCTGTTGAGAAATCCAGCAGCAAGTCTAGCACCAGCTGGATTTCAGTACTCTCTCACATCAACCATGCATCCTTTGTAGTGGTCAACATGTTCAATTATATACAATAGCGCCACATATGACCACAGACTCTTTTCTCCTAAAAATTCCCATTAAATCACACACTATCCAGTCAATATTTATTGTAAGCCTGCAGGCTGTTAGTTACTGTGCTGGGAGTTTAAATTATAACAGGGGACCCCCAATGCAGACAATCCCTGTCCTCTGTTAACTCACAAATTACTCTTTTGTGAAACACATTTTAGGAGATAACTGGCCTAGATACAGTTTTAAATAGAAAGTTATGTAACAAGCTTACATGCATAGAAGCTGGAATACTCTGAGTTTTGATATAGCAGTGAGCGTTTATCTTTATCTGTAAATCACCTTTGATGCCACTATCAAATGTAACCTTAGGCTAGCTATACCTTAGATCTGAGCCAGTCTGAAATTTCTTGTGACAGTGCACTTTTTAAAGTTTATAAAGTCAAATGCTGTGCCATGTTAATGCCATGAAAGTATGTGAGAGAACATTTTCCACTTTGTCCCAGGACTCATTTATGTAAATAAGTTATCTCAAGTTTTCAGTCTTTGTTCAACAGAAGCTATTGCGAGTGATGATCCCTGACTTGCCAGCTTTTAGTGAGCCACAGCAGATAGATAAGCCAGCTACAGTTCCATGGATGATCATTTCCACTGGGTCCAATGTCCCTGCTCATTAAATAAGAGGGCAGGAGGAAATTTTGGAGGTGATTGATAAGTTTATGGTGATGATTTTAGGGATATATACTTATCTCCAAACTTACCAAGTTGCATACATTATATATGTACAGATTTTGTATGTCAATCATACCTCAACAAAGTGGTTTGAAAGGAAAATTCACTTTATCTGTAAAAACTTGTCTTATAATATCAGTGACTGACTGGGAGATCCTCATACTGGCCAATATTAAGTATTTCATAGTATCTTCTGTAGCAGTCTTCTAAAATAGAATATTTATAACAAATGCATGCCTAATGAAACATAATAATAAAAGGAACACTTGGCAAATAAAAGATAAAACATTATAGATATAATTTTATCTACCTGGGTACTCTTTACCAATACCAATACCATTGCTTTGCTTCAGCTCCAGAGAGAACCACTATCCAAAATTTGTGTATGTCATTCTAAGTAGACTTATTATATACCTAAACAATCTATTGTTTAACTTTACTTGGCTTTACTTCTTC